AGGACCACCCCAAAATTCACGGAAAAACAGAATTAAAGGATGATGGAATTTTCCAGTGAACTTTTTGAAGCCCCTTGAACTGTCCCTTCCACATCCCCTCCTCACATTCTCATGGATCTATGTAGGCACACCCACAGGCACATACACGTAGTGCACACATACCAAGTTGTTCTGCGAGGAGCCTGCCCTTCTCGGTAGGAACAACCCTCTCCTCCTCCATGTCACACTTGTTCCCTACGAGGATGACTTGCGCATTGTCCCAAGAGTAGGTCTTGATCTGAGTAGCCCTAAGGAGAGACAGAGAGGACTCTGTGAAGCGTTTCCCTTTCTTCCTGGCTAGCAACACCCAGGTAATTGTGTGTTGCCATGGAGGAAGCTCCAACTCATGGAAACCTTAGTATAACAGAATGAAACGTCGCCCAGGCCTGTGTCAACTTTGCAAAGGATGACCACACCCAAGTTACTATCAATTAATTTCAAACAGACAGACAGACAGGCACTTGTCCCTATTGTCACAGATTCTGACCTACCGTTTTTGTGGCATCCTCTCATGTGTCTGCCCATCCCTCTTCTAACTTGGCAGAGAACTCTTTCTCAGACTTAAAGCTGGTCATGCTATAGCTCTGCTTAAAATCCTTCTCTGGCCCCCAACTAGGTATGTGATAAATTTCAGATTCTTCATATGAGTATTCAAGACTGGTTATGTCTCTAGCTTAATCACTCTTCTTCCCACCTCAAAGAACTTCTTGCCCTTGCCTGAATGCTCTTCCATGATCTGTGTTCTTTCTCGTTCCTAAGTCAGCCTCCATGCCCAGCATTGTTTCCACAATTCCTTTGAGGATACTTCTCAAACGTCCAGGCCCAGTTATCCTCTCCCTTCGCTTCCATGACTCACACACCTGCTGATCATGACTATTTGTAGAAACCAAAATGCCATCGCTGCTTTCCTCCATGCAGAATGGCTGTATGGACTCTAAAAAACATTTTTCTGTGCTTTTCAAATTCTTGAGAATAAACACGTATTACTTCTATAATTGGAGATAAAGTTTTAATAGAGAAAAAAAACAGTTTCCTGTCTTATAGAGACATGTTTTTGTGGGAGTGAGTCTAACAGGGTCCCTCACCACCCATCATCTAGAAGCAATTATTTCCCATGTTGGGTTCCCTGTATCTTTACCATGACATCTATTACACTTAGCTGAATTTATCAATCTCTCATCCAGAGTAAGTGCTGGTCTATTCTTCTCTGGAATATCAGTGGGCCTAGAGCACAGAAGGTCTCCGTGTATAATGAATGAATGAGAAAATGGTTAATCCTGAAGCTGATCTTGAATCTGACCCTAGTCTGACACTGACATTCGATCTAAAGCATCCCTAACCTCTACCTCCATCTATTGCAGACCCTGCTTCTAAAGCCAATCCCACTACTACCTTCCTCTAAGTAAGAATCGATTCCCTCAAAGGATGGAATTAACTCAACGACCATTTGTGATGAACTTTCCAAGAGAGCCAGACACTATACTGGGCCTAGATGTCAAGTGAGGACTGGCTGGGACCAAATTTCCGAGAAGTGGAAATTGAAAGGATAGGGTTTGGGAGAGAGAATCTTGGTCTTCAGTCTGAAGGCAGGTAACTGAAGCCACCTCTCCAGCTCGCCCCGTGTTCCGCTTTCTGCCCTCGCTCCTCCCTCCTCCCATCCCCAGCCCCTCTCAGCTCCCAGATTAGCAACAAACTGAGGTTATTTTTGGAGTTGTCACCAGGTGTTAAAGTCACTGTGTTGCTGAGGCATAATGAACAGGGACTGATGGAAAAAGAGAAAGGGGCCCAGGCCAAGAGGAAATGAGCAGTGTGGAGACCTTTAAAGAAATGTCCACCCTTGGGGACAGAGGAGAGAGAGAACCCAAACCACCCGGCCGGCCGGCCGTCCAGTTCATGCGGACTGACAGTGACCCTATAGGACAGGGTAGAACTGCCCCTGCGGGTCCTGAGGCTGTCACTCTTTACAGGAGTAGAAAGCCTGGTCCTTCTCCCAGGGAGAGAGAGAAATGAGGGGAAGGAAAACACATTACTGGAGGGAAGAGAGGAAATAAGGATGAAAAGGAATGAGGTGAAGGGAAAGAAAAATTGAGAAAGAAGGAAGATAGAGGGGGAAAGGAGTTGTTAAAAAGAACCAAATTAAAAACACCGCCATCAAACTCATTTTGAGCCTATAGAACAGAGTAGAACTGTCCTTGTGTGTTTCCTAGAACTGTAAATCTTCACAGCAGAAGAAAGTCTCCTTTTTCTTCTGTGGAGCCACTGGTGGTTTTGAACTGCTGACCTTTTGGTTAGCAGCCCAATGTGTAACCCACTACACCACCATAACTCCTACTGTTTCAAGGGAAGGGAGTGGGGGATGGAAGAAAAGGATGACCAAAAGGCAGAAACGGAGAACACAGACCACCACGAGTGACAGACACATGGACGGCACCCTAGACGATTGGGTAGAATAAGGGATTACAACAGCCTGCAAGGTCACTCTTAGCTCAAGGTTCCAAAAGACCAACCTTGGTGCACATAGTCATGGCAACTGTTCCTTAGGAGAGGGCATGTCCACCAAGGGTAGATGTTGGCCAAAGGGAGCAAGTTTAGAGCTGGCCGATATTGCTGCTGTGGGCCTGGCCTGCTCAGCCTCTAATTCTGAATGATGGCCACAGCACACCTCCTTCACTCACCTTCTATAACTCATTCTTTCTGCTGATTAGGGGAACTGAGTCTGGCCTCGCCTTTTCATGAGTCTTTCCCCACAAGCTCCCTTCTCCCTGTGAGTTCCCCCATGCTTCGGTGGTTGTACTCGTGTGCTGTGCTGATTCCCACAGCATATTAAAACTTCATAAACTTGAACTGTATGTGCTCTGGGTCCCCCAGCTTATGGGGAAGTGGTATGTGGATATGTTTGTTACTGTGATCAGAGTGATCTTCCTAAAGCATTAATCTGTCAGTTCCCTATTCAATGTCATTGTCTATGGAATAAAATCCCAATTCTTTACCCTGGCACATAACAAACTTCACAATAATGTCTGCCCTTTCTCATCTCAGCTGCCTTTTTGCTTTGACACATCTCTGTTCCTTTCCTGGAATAGTCTTACCCTCTTGGCCCTCTGGCTAACTCTTGTTCAATTTAGAAAGGTAGCATATACATTAGCAATGACAGGACACCTCTGACTCCCTAACCAGATCAGACACTCCTCCTCTGGCTTCCCCCAGCCCTGGTGTGTCTGCTTACTGATTGGTCTTCCCTATCTGTGAACTCAAGGGCAGGCATGCCACGTTAGATTCATCTTGGCGTACAGCCCATGGTCTAGCACATGCTAGGTTTTCATGAAAGATGAGTGAATATCATACCAGTCTTGGACAGCATTGAAGGACTCCTCGTTGGTGATGTCATACATCAGAATGAAGCCCATGGCCCCACGGTAATAGGCTGTGGTGATAGTCCGGTACCTCTCTTGTCCAGCTGTGTCCTGGGTGGGAAAAGGGCAGAGTTATCTTCCTAGGAAGTTGGCTTTGCTTCCTGAAAACTCCCATGATAATGAACTAATACTCCAAGGCACGTTTAAGAATAAGGTGACCAGCTTTTAACATTGGTAAAGTGGGACACCATTGATAAAACTCATATCCTGGCGAAATAGCCACATGGCAGCGGTAAACCATATACCCTAGCTTGTCGTGCATTCTTTCTAAAAATCGGGACTTTTTAAAAACGCCCTGGGATGCAGGAAAAATTGTTAAAAATCGGGACTGTCCCACCAAAAGTGGGACGTCTGGTCACCTTAGTTTAAGAAGTTCCTTTATCATGTATCTTGGATTGTGCCTGGTGACTGGAATAAAAAGATTTTTTAAACTTTGTGGAATTGGTAAGAAAAAATTAAAATCTTAACAAAAAAAAGGCAAGAGGCATGAAATACTCACAGAAGACATGTAAAATGGATAACTATTGCATTAAAAAGTTTTAACCATCCTTTTAATAATAGCTCCCATTATAGGTGAAGATGCAGTGAGATGTGTAACCTCACACCTTGCTTGGGGAAGGGGAACCTGGCTCAACCTTTCTGAAAACCTATTTTGAAATAAGTATCAAAACATGCACTCTTTAAGTGGAAATTTCCCTTGTAAAAATCTTTCATAAGAAAATAGATGGGAACAAGGGGGGTTGGAGTGGAGGCCCAAGGCCCATCTGTGGATGGTTGGATCCCCGCCCCCCGCCTCCCCCACAGAGGGGTTATAAGGAAGGGATGATTCAACCAAGGTGTAAGCACCAATGACTTACACATCATTCCTCTGGTTCCTGAATGTTTCCTCCCTCCCCTGCCCCCACTTCCATGGCCCAGTTCTACGTTACAAATCTGGCTAGACCGGAGAACACACATTGGTACTGATAAGAGCTCTAGGTCCATGGAATTCAGGACGGATAGACCCCTTAGTTACAGTAGTGGGAGTGGTGATATCATGAAGGGAGGAGGATGGTTGGGGAGGGCGAAGGGTGAGAAAGGGGAAACCCATCACAAGGCTGAATATATAACCTCTCCCCAAGGAACGAATAACAGAAATGTGGGTGAAGGGAGACAATGGACAGTGTAAAATATAAAATAATAATAACAATATATAATTAATCAAGGTTTCACAGGGGTAGGTGTGGGGGGCTGGTAAGGGAGGAGCTTAAACCAAAGGCTCAAGTAGAAGATGTTTTGGAAATGTTGATGACAACATGTACAAACATGCTTGATACAACTGAGGTATAGAGTGTTATGGGAGCTGTAGGAGCCCCTGATAAAATGATTTAGAAAAGAACATAGAAAATCTGACAAATATCTATGCACAGAAATGTTTGTTGCAGCTTTAGCTACACAGCGAAAAAGTTTCAGCAGTTTTATATAGTCAACAAGAGGATAATCAATGAAGTGTAGTACATTTCAATTCAAGGTACATATCCATCAAATGTAGTCCATTTTGTACTTGTAAGGCTATGACTGGCACAGGACAAGGTGTGATTTAAGTTTTGTGCAAGAAACAAAGATGAAAGAAAAATATCAAAAGCTTCCTATTGCCGGGAAAGTTCAGAGTGACTGGGGTTTTCACTTTCTTCATGCACGGTATGTTCTCCACATACACATACGCACGCACTGCTGTTGTTGTGAGTTGCTATTGAGTCCATTCTGACTCTGGGAGCCCCATGCGCAGAGGCAAACAGTTCCAAGGCAGTGACTTTTCAGGAAGCCGATCACTAGGCCTGCACTCTGAGGTGCCTCCATGCGGGTTCAAACCACCAACCTTTGGACTGGTAGTTGAGTATTTACTGTTAGTGCCAGCAGGGGCTTAAACATGCATTACTCTCATATAAGACAAAATAAGAAATGTTTCACTGGTTGGGGGGAGGGGATGGACTGTCTGAAGCAGCTCACAGTCTAAATAAACATAAGCATGTAAGCAAGCAAAGAAGACCAGTACCAAAGGGTGATCAGAGCATATTGATATCTCACAGATATTCACACGGCGCTTATGTGAGAGGCCAGCCACTCTTCTCTGTGTCATTATTGTTAGGCTGTTTGCTGCTTGTGCACGTGGCAAACATTTCCTCATATACATCTCATTAAATTTTTAGGAAATCTCTACTAGTTAAGTGACATTATTTACATTTTATGGTCGAGAATACAGAAGTGCAAAGAGAGGAAGTGACTTTCTCAGGGTCACCAAGCTGGTGACAGAGTTACACATTAGCTACTAGGCTCTTAAAAGCTCATCAAAGGTGTAACTATCGGTCTCTCCTTATACAGAAGAAAGAAGAGTGATGACAGTAGGCTACACATGGAAACAATTCGTCCAAAGGACTAATGGAGCACATGAACATCGGTCTCTACGACCCTGAGACCAGAGGATCTACCACTACAAACTGCTCTGAAAGGAATGACATTCGTAGGTCCTGGATAGAGTGGGAGAAATGTGAGGGGAAAACCTCAAAATCATAAAAAAAAAATAGACTGGTCAAATAGAGACTGTGGAACCCAGGAGACTGTGGCCCTTAGTCACCATTCAGGTTTAAAAATGAACTCACACCATGGCTTAATTTTCTGCCAAACAATCGACAGGTCTATAAGGTAAGCTATAGAGAGATACACACATCTTATAATAACCAACCATTTGAGATCAGAAGGACAGCAATTACCCAAGGACCAAGTTCAGAAGGGTTAGGGAAGAACGAGAGCTGGAAACAGGAGACACAGGGAGGACTCGGGATAAGTGATGGTGCATTTCAAGAGGAGACGCAGAAATGTGTGGTAGGCACCAGAATGACCCCCACAGGTCAAATCTGCACTGAGCCCAGGAGCGTCAGCCGAAGATAAATTAACTTGGTAATATCAAGAGATGAGGGGTTTTTCTAAAGAAGAGATGTGAGGAAGGGCATTTTGGCAGAGTACTCCGAAAGAACTTAAAGAACGGTGGGAAGTAAGAAATGGGTGAGACATGAAACAGGAAACAAGCTTGAACACCTGAGTTTCATCATCTATCAAGTGGGAACAAGGTCACAGAGACTCGTGAAGACTAGGGAAATTAGTGTACGAACAAAGCTTTAAAGAGTAAGAATCATCCAGGTATCAGTCATTATTTTTGGACTTCCAGAGGCAGCCCTAGGAAGAAGACCAGTTCCCCAAGAGGTGTTCAGGGTCAGCTGAGCAGGCCTTGGTCTGATTCTAAGTTCTGCCAATCGTCAGCTGTGTGATTTTGAATAGATGACTTATTCAACCCCTCTGGGGCTGTTTCCTTATCGCTGGAACAGAAATAATAATTACGATGATTGATGGAACATTTTAAACTCTCATGAAACCTAGACTTTCTAGAGTGATGGTGGCTGGATAAACCATGGAAATTATTACCCTGAGAAAATCTTTTAAACCTTAAACCAAAAAACACCCCCTGAAGTCTTCTTTAAATCAAACAATTGTTTTTCTTTTAAACTTTTTGCTGCAAATTCGGTGAAGGAGGACAGAACGGATCATCAGTTTTACATCCAACAATTCATATGTATTTTGTCTCAATGGTAAGTCACTGACATTTGTCCTTGGGTAAAAGCTGCTGTCGGGATCTTGAATGGTTGGTTATTCTAACCCAGGGGCGAGTTCAGGTCCAGATCTGAAGGGTGGCTGAGGGTCATAGTCTTTGGTCCCACCAGTCTCCTTGTCCCGTTGTATCTCCTCTTCCTCCTCCTTCTTCTTTTTTTTCTTTAACTATTCAACAATGCATTTTATTGCATATGGGGTCCCCCTCCCCATTATTTCCTTAATCTCTCCATACACAGGCAAATTTAAGGGTACTGTTTATTACATTTGCACTTGTTAACCTGATCATTCCTAGAGAAGGGATATGCGTCCCTGAAAACATGCTTAACCAGGAGGCCAATTCATCTGCCGACCACCGAGAACATGAAGATGGACACGACAGACGGACTGTCCCCCGTGCGAACCTTCATTCCGCACCATGCGATAAGCCTTGTTCGGGCCCAGGTCAGCTGCACGTTTCTTGCCAACCATCGTTACATGTCCAAGGAGACTTTCATCACCTTCTGCAACAGAAAGCTGGGAAATGTACTTCTTGGGTATCACCAAAAAAAGTGTTGGTGCTTGCGGGGAAATGTCATGAAAAGAAAGGCACCGGTCATCTTCAAAACCAATTTTGGCTGGGACTTCTTTGCGGACGATCTTTCCGAAGATTGCGTCACTGCCACGTCGGGCGGCCTGAGCCCTGGCGATCTCATCTGCCATCTTGACCTCCGTCCTGCGCCACCACTCCGGGAGCAGCTTCCTCCTCCTCCTTTTTGAGAAAACATTTATTAAGTCTTAAACAGGGCAAGGACTGGACAACGTCAGAGACTTTCCGCCTGAGGGGAACCATCAACACAGGGTCATAATGGTGTCCAATGTTGTTGTTGTTCGATGCCATGGAGTCAGCTCTAGCTCAGAGCAACCGTACGTACAACAGCATGAACTCTGCCTGGTCCTGCACCATCCTCACAATGGTGGCGATGTTTGAGTCCACTGCTGCCGTCATTGGGTCAGTCCATTTTATGGTGGAATTTCCTTCTTTGCTGACCCTGTATTTTATCAAGTATGGTGTCTTTCTCCAGGGACTCGTCCCTCCTGATAACATGTCCAAAGTACCTAAGACAAAGTCTTGGTGACCAATGACAGAGCATTGAGCATTTTAGCTGTATTTCTTCCAAGACAGCTTTGTTCATTCTTCTGGAAGTTCATGGAACAATTAATATTCTTTACCAATGCCGTTAATTCAAAAACATCAATTATTCTTTGATCTTTCTTAATCATTGAACAAACAGTAGTTTAGCTTAATTAGTAAGGAATATCTTCCTTGAGGATTGTGTTCTTTTAAAGAACAAATCTCTATGGGATGAAATTCACAATAGAAACTACAAAGGTTGGGTAGGAAACATAGAGGATCGTGAGTTTATGTGAATGGAGTAAGAATAACTCAGAAAAGGAGGGTTAGAAAACTTATAAAACTTGGAGGATGTAATCAGTGGTGTTGACTTGCCCATGTAGAACTTGTTGAACTGGAATGTGCCCTGCTGGGCATATTTTCAATAGCAAAAAATAACATACATTATTGTTAAAATGTTGGTTCTTCAACAAAGTCCCCGAGGAATACCAAAGGTGGATTTGGGGGCCAGGGTGTGGCACCACAGTGGACTCTACAGGAAAACGCTCATCCAGGTCGACGGGCAGACCTGGAACTGTTTGAGGGCTTTTCAGGTTTCGCCGTTGGTTTTTCTTGTTCTTTCTTTATGTTTGTTTTGTTGTATTATCTGTCATTCTATTTTTTGTCCTTTTCTGTTAAGTTTTGCTCTGCTTTGTTTTTGCACATATTATTGTCTATGCATGTCTTCCTGGACAAGATAGGCAGGATGAACAATCTGGAGGAGAGAACAATGGGACCAGCGGTTCCGGGGGACATGGGAAAGGGAGAGATGGCGGAAAAAGAGGGGAGTGCCAACAAACCCAGGGACAAGGGAAGAATAAGTAACCTAAAATTGATGGCAAGGAGGGCATAGATGCTTGGGGGGCTCCATCAAGGGAAGTGTAGCCTAGAGGAATTACCAAAACCCGAATGAAGGCTGAACATGATAGTGGGATGGGAGGAAAGTACTGTAAAAGGAAATAGAGGAAAGAACTGGGAAGCATAGGACAGTTATAGAGGTCTAATAAAGGCATGTATATATGTAAATACATTTATATACAATGACAGGGGAATAGAGATATGTACATATATTTATTTAGAAAGTATTATGGTAGCAGATGGACATTGGGCCTCCACTCAAGTACTCCCATAATGCAAGAACAATTTGTTCTACTAACACAGCACTCCATGATGTTCACCTTCCCTGGCATGATCGATCGCTGAAGACAAAATGGGTGCATAAGCAAATGTGGTGAAGGAAACTGATGGTGCTCGGCTATCAAAAGATACAGCCTCTGGGGTCTTGAAGGCTTGAAGATAAACAAGCAGTCATCTAGCTCTGAAGCAATAAAGCCCACATGGAAGAAGCCCACCAGCCTGTGTGATCATGAGGTGTCCATGGGATCAGGTATCAGGCATCAAAGACCCAAAACAAAACAAACAAAAAGCATATCAATGGGAATAAGGGGCAGGCAGAGTGGAGACCCAAAGCCCATCAGTAGTCAATTGGACACCCCCTGTCAGAATGGCTACAAGGAAGAGAAGAGCCAGTCAGGGTGCAGTACAATACTGATGAAACACACAACCTTCCTCTAGTTCTTTAATGCTTCCTCTCCCCTCACTATCATGACCCCAATTCTATATTACAGATCTGGCTAGACCAGAACATGTATACTAGTACAGATAAGAGCTCTTAATACAGGTAATCCAGACCAGATAAACCCCTAGTCCCAATAAGGGGAACAGTGATACTAGGAGCCTAAGGGTTAGGGGGAGGGGAGTAATGGGAACTGATTACAATGATTGATGGAATGCCCCTATCCCAGAGGGATGGACAGCAGAAAAGTGGGTGAGACAGCAGTCGGTGTAAGACATGAAAAAAAAATTTTTTTAAGAATAATGTATAAATTATCAAGGGGCCATGAGGGAGGGAGGGGGAAAAAGGAGGAGGTGATGCCAGAGGCTCAAGTAGAAAAAATGTTTTGAAAAAGATGATGACAACATATGTACAGATGAGTTTGACAAAATGGATATATGTATGGATTGTGATAAGAGCTGTAAGAGCCCCCAATAAAATGATTTTTTAATGTTGGTTTTTATATTAAATAAGAATGTTCTTTAAATGCCTGGCTTATCACAGGGGCTAAAATATTGAAGTCTTTTTTCACGACCACTGTCATTCAACTCTCTAGGCCTCAGTTTTCCCCAGTGGTTACAAACACAGCAAACCTGAAGAGGTTCGTGCGGAGCTGAGGGAATGTACAGGTGGAGTCTGGCAGAGGGACCAGCACATGGTAGGTACTTAAGAACGTTTCTGACTGTTGCTACGACTGTGGATATTGTCGTTACTGCTATGTCACTTGGAGAAAAACAAAATTAGACACAATAATCAAGCTCTCACGTTGAAAAGCAGTCCAGAGAATTATTCCTGAACCCCGCTCTCTTTTATTTGTAAAAAACCACACTGGCAAACATTGATCTCCTCCTGCTGGCGAGAGTCAGAAATAGAACTGAAGAGGAGACAGGAAAAGGGAGAACGAAAGCGGGATGACTCATTGGCCACTTACAGGAGCCCAGGTCATCAAGGGCAAGCTATTCCCTTGTAAGCAACAGACAGTCATCGAGCTCTTCCTATGAGCAAAATGTGCCAGAGAGATTGGACTCCCGAGTGAGCAAGCCACTTCCATGCCTCCAGCAGCCCTGTCGGTGGGGTGATGGGACACATGAGCACCTACAATGAGGCAGGTCCTTGGATGCGCACTTTATACATGGGCTCTCATTTAGTATCTATAGCAACAAAATAAAATGACTAGCCGAGCCTTGCTACATGCCAGGCACTATGCTAAGCACGTTTCCTATTTAATTTTCAAAAGAAAATTTCTGATAGAGTGTTCTCTCTCTTTACAGGTGAGGAGAAATTCGATAACGTCCTTACAACAATCACAGATATGAGACCAAAAGGACAGCATTTGCCCAAGAACAAAGTTTAGAAGGCACGAAGGAGACGGGAAAATGGCGAAAGGAAATGAGTAACACAGGGAGAACTCCGGAGCAGTGCTGACACTGAGGGCATCACAACTCGTGTCCTGAAAGGAGATGGGTGTAACTTGTTAAGTAGGAAACTCCTTTGCTTTGCAAACTTTCACCCAAACCACAATAAAATGATTTGTGAAACAACAAATAAAGTAGCAGCACAGGGAAACTTTATGCTAAAACCTAAAGCAATGATATAAGGTCTTGAATGGAGAAAAATAATTTTATGTTTAAAACGAGATTAATTTTTAAAAATATTTTTATTAGAGGCTCTGACATCTCTTATCACAATCCATACATTCATCCAGTGTGTCAAGTACATTTGCACATATGCTGCCATCATCATTTTCATTTTTTCCTCCCATCATCATTTTCAAAGCATTCGCTTCCCACTTGAGCCCCTGATATCAGCTCCCCATTTTTTCC